TTTCTCCTTCACTTGTATATTATTACTGACATTAGAGACAGTATGTGTCATTGATATTTGGCCAGCTGATGCAAGCCAAAAAACAATTGCCAACGATGTGCAACCGTAAACAACCATCAAGGAGTCACGTAGGAAAACTCCGAGAAGTATAGACAGTGACAAGCGCGACGAGTCGAAAACCCATGAAAAACGACTGAAATATTTCTTTGAAGATAACAAGTCCAAAATGTTCTTGTTCACAGATGTTATGAATGTGTAACAAACCTATGATCAAAATAGTAGCCGAACATTTGTATGTAAGCAATAAGAAAGCTGAGTCGGCAGAGGAATTCGGTCCAACCGAGGAATGTACGGAGCATATTGAATTGCAGAAAACAATGTATCAGAAATACCCACTGTGCTAAGAGATAGTAGCGAATAGCGTCGGAAAGTGGAGGATTATAGCGAACAGTAGGAAGGCGCTCGACCTACAGAACAAATCTTGCTGCTATATTAATTTAAGAGCCAACTCTCATCAAGATATCAGTGCTGAATAGCGGCTGTACACTTTGGCATCATTTCAGGCGTTGTGCCTTCGATGCTACCCAATGCCCAGTACAGCTGAGATTCACCAACCATCAGCGGTTACAGAACTCACTTCAGGTACTCCCTCAGTACTGTCCTCCATACAAAACCACAAAAAGAACTGCTTTGTTCGCATTCCCGGAAAGTAGGCTGGCGGCCAGAGAGCGGCTCCTACCTACATATCAAATATTTCATTATTATTATTATTATTATTATTTTTTTATTATTATTTATATTATTATTATTATTACTATTATTATGACTAAATATTCCCTACAGACAGATTGACAATCTTCTGCTTATATATTCCTCGGAGTGGAAAAATATGGAGTTTTTATATTCAGAGCCTCAGAATTTGCCCCCTTGAAATTGTCCTTTCTCACCTTGTTCCACGTTCCTGGAAACAGCTCCTCATTTTTCTCGTTTCTCATTTGACCTTTGTCATAACCGATAACTTTGATTCGAAGAACTGAAAACTACCCCTCACTTTTCCTAGGTTTCTCTCATGTAAGAAGATGATCAGCCATCAGCAAACCTGACACCACATTTGATTGAATGACCCCACAGGCGTAACCAGTCCGTAAGCAATCTCTTCTTCTTTCCGTTCCGGTTCGTAAGTGCCGAAAAGTCTGGAAATGGTGAAACGTTGCATTTCCAATCTACTGAAGTGCGCTGCGTTTTTGCTCGGAACCGAGAGGCGCACACGTGCTTTGATGAGTGACCTGACTTGTCTTTTTTTACAGTGCGCAAAAGCTTTATTGAAAAAGCGATTTGGGACTATGGAAAACCATAATAGTACCAACAACCTCACCTGTCCCATATAATCAAGACGCCGCCATAGTTTTTGTCGATGCAATATGGATTTCTTCCATGGTGGACTCGGTGACTAGATGGAGTGTTAATGAAGTACTCAAGTGGGCCGAGATAAGGTACAATCTGAAGAATGACTATAAAGAATATAGGTTTAAACACCCTAGAATTTTAAGCAAAAAAAGGCGGCATTAAAGGGGTTGCTCTCTGTTTTATGATTTTCACTTATACACGGTCGGACCAAGCAGAATTTGTTTGCGCTGCCAGTCTATCCATAGTGCGCTACTTATTCAAAACCTGTTAGAGAATCATGTTTGTATGTTCCTATACCAGATAAGCACCACAAAATGGATACGTGGAGATTCAGTCGTGGCAACTGCTTTGTAGTCACGCTAGTGGACGCCGCATCCGCTCGAGTTTGAGTTGTACTGTCTAATGGCTCGCTCAATTTGTTGGGGGGGGGGGTCACGGAAGAATGTTTCGCCAACGGGATGTTGGTGGAGAACGCCGTGACGCAACGCAATTTTTTTTCTCTAGCAACAAATCATGAGTAGGTAATACAGCTGAAATTGCCGCGCCATTCACCGTGAGCGACCATATAAGCTCACGATAAAATTGCCCGTCTCCCTCACACAATAGACCTCACGGGGCTATGAAGGTTGGTTGCCCTGCGATTGCCTGCAGGTCCTCTTTCCAAAGCGCCATCGTTGCGTTCGTCCCGAATGATGACAATTGATCAGTACTGGAGACTAAAACTACGTCAACGCACTCACGTTCGAGTGGATCCAGAATTGAGAGAGAAGATTCAGAGAGCGGTGAACGTAGAAAATGTTCGGTGGGATGGCGATAGCTTGTAGCAGGTCGAAAAACATATGCATAATGTCCTTAATGTGAGAAGTTGAGAAGAGATAGAATACTGTTGACATTAAACTTTGAGATCACTACTCGCTCTATTTTTTGGAAAATTGCGCTGCAGCCATTCCACTAAGTTTATGAATAAGCCAACCGCAATATCGCAATCCATCGACATTCTGGTTGGGACGCATGAGCGCGCCATGGGACTGAATAAATGGACCAAGACATCGTGAGCCGACGTTTTCCTCTGGGTTCCTACTAAGTACATGTATTTATTGCTCTAGCTAGGGACGGTCGCCAGGTCCAAGTGGTCATTTTGAATAATGCATAGTTGGTGCGATTTCGTAAGGATGCTGTTTTCAAGTCTGCCTTCGAAATTTGCACAACCCTTTTTCAAACGAAGTTATGGAGCTTTTTTTGTCCGTCTATCAAGCACCAAATTACGTAATCGGAGCTCCACAGAACTTCAATTTTTTTGCTCTTTACAGGAACATGGCAAATAGTGGTTGTAGCGTCATCACTGCATCAGTACTCACCTGAACTTACCTGAATAGGCGTTTTCGTGCAGTTATCACTGCTCTTGGGCGGCTTATGATCAAGAAGAAGATTTGGGTGTACAGGTGCCCCAGCACGAAACTGGGTTTTCGCGCTGGGCGAGTGCCATATTCGTGTTCAGCGGTCCTACTTCTAGGTACACGTATCTAGCCAAATCTGGCATTTTTACCCGTTTTCGATAAGTGAAGCATTCAAGGGGTGCAGTTCAATTCCTCATCTTGCCAGTTGTGACGTATTCATTCTGTTACTTACTTTTACTTTACATTTTTCCCCACTTACTTATTGCCTGACATTTGAAAGC